ACTCCTTTTCGCATATCCTTCCAACACCCGTCGCTCACAACAATGGCGCAACCGTCTCCGCCAGCTCCACATCCTACCCCACACATACCACTACCACAACTTCCTCTCCTCCAATTCAGTTTACATCAAGCTCCACTTCAATCCTGACCAACCTCAACGCTGCTACCATCAACATGGCCACTTCTATGTGGGCCCCACAGCCATTGGCATTCCTCACCGCGAACACAACCGCCGTGCCAAACTCAAACAACTCCAGAACAATATCCCCATTTCTGCAGAACTCTCCCTACGCTATTGGCACTCACACAACAACATCCACCACTACACTACCATCCAACTTACATCCCACGACACATACGACCAAGCTTGGATCCATGAACACCACTACATCGCAAACTGGATGCCTACACTCAACTGGCCCTTTATCTCCCACCACCTCAAGCTCAAAGCTCAAGGCTGGCAGTTCACCAAACACAGAGCCCATTTCTACTCCAGATTAGCAACCCACAAACGACTCTTTCGACGCCTGCGGCAACGCCAGTACACACTCAGAGAACCACATCTTTACACCTCCACCAAGCATCACGCCCTCCAACTTCTCCGCAACCTTACCAAACACACAGCAGCCTCCTTTGAAGCAGCCAAAGAACTACGAAGCGGCCGTCACACGGACCTTGAAGTCTACGCCATCCGGCGTATGGCCGCCAACCTTGAAGAACCCGGCCGCAGCAGAGCTCTCCACATCATCAACAAAGCCCTCCTCTACCGCAACCTCACGCCGCCAAAACCAAATATTCCACTGACAGTGCCATTTCTGGCCCACGACGATTTCACCAAACACTGCCAACAGTGGCTCCGCACTACCATTCAGCAGCACAAGCACTTGACCATTCCCCTTCACCTCCCCTCCCACCGACTGCGCGAAGCCGCACACAAAACCCTACGTTCCCACCTACATAACCACCGCACATGGGAGGACACCCTCCACTCCCCGCCAGATCCAGCAGACCTCCCCTGCGCATGCGATCATCTTCGTACTCTCCTGCAGGATCCTGACACACCCACCACCAACGGCCACTACATTCTCACACTTGATCAACTCCAACTTCCCACACATCTTGGCATCTTTCTCAACGCCAACATGAACAGCACCTACTACCCAAGCAAGGCCCGCTACTTCCTCACGTTCCGGACGGCCTACACCAAATGGCTCAAGCTACAGGGGCTCCCACCATCCCTCGTACAACACTTGCAGCCATTCCTCGAGCACCAATGGCGCCTACACAACATGCACCTCAAGCAGCAACCCCGTTTTACGGCTCGCCTGCTTCGCCAACTCCAAGAATACCTCGGCCAACACACAGTGCTTCACCATGCCGACCATGAACTACAACAACTCCGGCTGTTCTGCCCCCGCCAATATTTCACTGGCGCCTTGAATACATGGCAATCCCCCGAACTTTTCGAACCACTTCCCCACCTCACTGCCGCCAACATCCACGACCACCTGGCAGCCACTGTTCCCCCCCATTTTGCGCACCCGCTACAAATGGGGCTTCCGCAAAGATTTCAACATTCCCTACGGCGTCGTCCACCTCAAAGAAAAGAAGCAATGGCAGAAAGGCCGCACCATTATCTCATACTTCCAGTCACTCAGTGGCAATCTACTCCGCATCACCAGCCGTGCCCTTGACATTATCCTTCAACACCTTTACCCCCAACATCCCGGCCAAATGTCTATTCCCCAACTTTGGCGCCATTTCCACAGCTACCTCACCCAAACCCCACCAGACATCTCATTGCACGCCACCAACGATGACCTGGTCGGCTTCTTTAACTCGGTCCCACAACACCGCCTCATCGATGCAGTTCACTATCTCATTCACCACTGGCAACAACAGCGATCCACACACACCCTGACGGTGGATGTCCAGGCTACCGGCAACCCTTTTCACCACTCTCACATTGGCAGACACCATCGAAAACACCCTACACAACGCACCATCCAAACATCAGATATCATCACCATCGTGGCCTTTGCCCTCAACACATGCATTTCCCGGGCTTGCAACAACACCTACAAGCAAATCCGAGGAGCTGGGATTGGATCCCAGCTCTCTCCAGCCCTCTGCAATGTCGCCATTACCCTCATAGAACATTCCTGGCATCAGATCCACAACAACTTACTTCAACACACTGACCTACACTTCACTTACTATCGATATGTCGACAACCGTTTCATTGTCCACAACGAACATTTCCTCCACCATCCAGCCATTCAAACCCTCATCCACCACAACTTCTTTGGCGACCCAGTGGAACTCGAACCGGTGGACGACTTCCATCTCCTAGGTTTCAACATCGACCTCCCACAACGCACCATCACCTACATGCAACCTTCCCAACCCTGGAAAATCAGGGATTCCACCACCGCCGGGAGCCAGCGCTTGGCTCTGTCAGGCCTCCAATCAAGACTCCACACCATTCGCAAATACACATTTCCACCCTCCAGCGCTGAAGCTGCTGCTGCCGAGCTAGTGAGGCTCTATGTCCAAAAAGGACACAACCATCACGCCTGCCACCGTTAAAAAAAAAAAAGCGCCGAGGACGGCGACCTGTGTGTGTCCACCCCTGGACAAAGGGTTTTCCTCCGCCACCTCCTTCACCGCTTTTCCACGAACTTTCACATGCAGGGGGATCACCCACGGACTTGACTGGTGATCCAACGAAGAGGGTCAAGATCCGTGCTGATATCTGGCCTGATCAGCCAGACGTACCTGCTCGTTCTTCACAAGCTGTTACTCCAATTTTCCTTTTTTGATTCATGGTCGCTTGCATGATACTTCCCACAAACCTACTCGTCCCCAGCAGCTGAGCCGCCGATCGTCCGCAGATGTGCAGCGTTTGTTCAGCAGAACGAGAGAAACTACGTTAAACATTTCAAGTGATCTGACCCAATCACCATGCCGTTCCACCGCCATCCTTCCCATCGTGGTAACTGAGTCACTGAATACAAGTGTCAGAGTGTGTGTGCTCTCATGCGTGCTCTTTCGCATACCTGTGTTTTCACATGTGGCTCTCACGCACTCGCACATGCCCTCTGATTTGTGTGCTCCCATACATGTCCGCTCTCATGTGTATGCTCTCTTTTGCGTGTTTTTTTGTGTTCTATACAGTATGCATGCTCTCATATGTGTGTTCTCATTTGCGTGCTCTTCTTTGTGTGCTGTCATGTGTGCGCTCTCATTTCTTGAGATGGGGATGCACCATGATGTGATGAACTTTGTTGCCTATCGTTTGGGTCGTTGACTTAGCGTTAACTTAACGTTGCTCCTATCGTTGCTGTATCGTATGGCAATCCATGTGGCAAAATGACTTTGCCATTGAAAACTACGTACAGTATACATGTATATATATATATACAATTATAGTTATATACACAAATTACAAGTTGGATCGTTTGCAGGCCGTTGGCGGACCGTTCCTAAAAACAACCTGAAACGACAGCTCCAACGGTGAGTCTGTGGCAAAACTTCCCAAAGGTCAAGCTTTGGCAGGTTTCCAACAATATCAATAGCCCCAACGGTCAAAAATGGCAAAAGGTGTGGCGAAATTGCTTTGCCACGCCTTTTGCCACATGTTTCTATGATACGACGACGTTTCAACGATGTTTCAAGCCTTTTCTCGGAATATCTACCGTTTTATGCAAATGCACGTCTTTTTATCGTAGAGTTTCATTCCAACTCACATTTGCACTCACATACTTGTCCCCTTTGTGCTCTTTTATATGCGTGTGCGCTCTCATGTGTGTCATTCGATGTTTTTGTAACGTTCTCATGCATGATGCAACCATAACCCACAAATTGTCCCGCTCACCAGGGGAAAGTGCGTTTGCGCACGCTCGACTCTCGTCCCCGCAACGGCATCTCCAGCGAGGCCTCGCCAAAACGCATGGCACGGTAGCATAAAGATTTCGCACGCTTCGGCCACGATTTCCGCAAAGGATCCACTCTCGTGGCGTCTTGCCCACCCACCCTCGCCTAAGAAAGAAGAGATTAAAGAAGATGTGAGATATAAAGATATCAGAGATGAAGATGTCAAGAAGTGAGAGGTGAAAATGTGGAAAATGTGAAGATGTCAGATGTGATAAATTTGTTTGCAGATGTGCTTGTATAATGAACAACCCTTCACTTCACTCAAATACTCTTGAGAAAGAAAAGGACTCTAAACTTAAGGCGCAGGAAGCCAAAGGATTCTGTGGTTTGTTACTCCCCATTCTACTGGAGCCATTCTTGGGCACTTCTTGCTCCACACCAATCATCAGCTCCACTCTCAATCTTTTTCAACGAAGAGGTTCCACAACAAGAAACATATCACCGAAGCACTCATCAACCAACCTGCAAAGGGACAACCCACAACACGGTTCGCCAGACGAAATGCGTGACCAAAAAGACCATGCCACGAACAAAAGAAGAAATGTGAATCAAACAAAGTAAATCAAGTTATCAGCGTTCGAATAAAGTAGGGACTTCGCAACATCAACAATTGAGCTCCACTCAGTTCAATCATTTCGACGCATACTGCCTCAAGAGGTCCAGAAATCCAACACGACCTGCAGCCCCTATAGTAGCGCTCTTGTTACTATCAACAAACATATCACCAATCAACCTAATCAACCAGCTGCTCACGCGTCCGTAGCGCCCATTCGGTTTCATTATCCAGTCTAACAACCGACGAAGTGGTCGTAAATCCTGCGTTCCTGAAACGAATCCTTCTGAATGAGCATCTCTGGATTATTGCCTAAACACCACCGTCAGAGCTGCAACACAAGACACCACCTCAGCCATTCAATCGGTCCGGCAGTCAGTACACCCAAGCGTTAGCGTTCAGGCACGTCAACAAACGAGCATCACTCGTGCCAAACGTGGAACAAAAATCATTGCAAGCAAACAAGAACACTTGGTCGCACTGCTAATTGCATGGACAGAGTTGCGTTGTGCCTGCAGTCTGGATTGTGGGCGTCGCTAAAGGATCTTCCCTGGTCCTCAGAAGCCCACAAGTTCTCCAACTTCTTACGTCTCTTGCCTCTTGTCTGAGCAGGAGCGTTTGCATGAAAGCCTGGCCTCGGCGTGCACATCAGCAAAGATCACAGGACTAGATCCTTCTTGCCCCGTCAAATACCGAATGGCCTCTTCAGGCAAACAGATTAAAGCATTTGCGGAGGCACGTTCTGGAGCTTGGAATGACTTTGCATGATAGGCCATTTGCTTGCAAAGCAAGTTGTGGAAAAATGCCTCCAACTCGTAGCCCTGGGCAGCACAAGCATATTGCAGGTAGTCTACAGATTGCAAAATTAAAGAACAGCCCTCAGCAAAGCCTTGCAGAATTGGTTGGTATCACCGACCTTGAAATAAGGGACTCACAATACCCCCTGCCAATCAAAACAGTCTTTGACAATCATCTTTGGCACTTGGCACTCCAGTTGATACTTATCGAGCGCCATTTGTGCTTCACAATTCAGATCAGTACCAGGATGGTCGGAGGCGAGCTGTACCTCTCAGTATGTCTCACGCTTCTGCATTTGAAGTGTGTATACTACTGGCTGAAGAGAACAAAAGCCTGCCGATTCATCAGAATCTGCATATTTTGAGGATATGACTTTTCACGGTCTTCTTGTATCCTTTCGGCAATGATCTGTGCCTCACAACCCATGCTGAATCCTGCAAAAGGCAATGAATGTGTGAATCTGGATGAACATGCTGACCTGCTTCATTCCGTGGCCATGCTTCCAATGGGAGTCGTAGAAAAGGATCGTCTTTCCTGACAAAGTGTAATGAAGTCCAGTGCACTTTGCATGCTTTGTAGGGTTAGAAGTGAAAGCTATTCCCTCCAGTTCTTCAACCTGTTGTATTCCAGCAGATTTGCATCAAGTTGTGCCGTTTTGCAGATCGTACATAGATTGATTTAAAGAAAAAACTCTGGGTCATAAAAAGCAGCGAGACGAAAGGAGGTGCTGAAGCTTTTCCACTCAAACATGCCCATCACCAACAAACTTCAGGCCTGTTTGCTTGTGCTTGTAGACTGCCTTGGTGCAATATAGTATCTATTGAAATCAGGCTAGATACTCTCCTTTTTTATATGCAGGTTTCGGACCATTGACATCCAATAGCCACCAACGAGCTTCACCCAGTCCTGGCATTAGAGAGCCAATGAGACAAAAAAGGGAAGAATGACTTTCTATATCTTTCTACCGTGCTTGGTTTATCTTCCCTTTTTTTTGCATCGAGGCTCTGTGTCGACAAGTTCAAGGTTGCTTGATCGATAAAATTGACCTTGGGTCACTCCGGTCTGGGTCGGGCAAGACCTGTCGGATTAGGCTAGCGCGGCTAGTGTCAGGTGCCTTCAAAGGGTATGGAAAACTGTGAATCGCCTTGCTGCTCGGGTCGAAGGGACTTGCGGAAACAGCAAGAAGCTCCCTATTCCATGTCACATATTTCACCGCAACTGGGGTGCTCATTGAAGTTGCATTTGAGATTGTGTTGGTTTCGTCTGGGGAATTTAGTTTGCCGCCGCGGTTTCCCTCTATAGTTCCTCCTCTAGAAATAGAAGAAAGATCATCCACGGGCCGGAATCCACGGGGCCACTTTCCATTTCGAACCAGGCAAAAAAATATCGCCCACAGGGCGCACAAACATGAGACAAGTGCTTCTTTCACCTTAAGAGACAACCCCAAGTGCATCAAGTGAACAAAACTCTGCCATTCTTTACCCCCTTCTCGATTGAACACAACAAGTGTTGCAAAGACCTGACAAAACCCACAGATGGGCGAAAGCTAGGAGAAAACACAACAACCAGTAAGAAAAGCAACACGAACTCAAGGCTTGAAAGGCAACCCCCCGCCAAAAAGAAATAAGACAATACGCCACAAAAAGACAAGCAAGAAAGTGAAGAAAAGCAGCACTGTAGAAAAGCAAGGACAAGCAAAAAAATAACACAAGCAAAAAAAGAACACAAAAAGGCAGCAAGAAGAAGAAACACGGACAAACAAATCCAAAAAGAAGTCCCTAAAACCATACAAATAAAGATCTATATATATACCAAAAAAATTCCCTCCCTATTCAATAGACCAAACTCCGAAATAGCACGACACAAAGAAAAAACCAAGTCTCGTTCAGCCCAGGAACTGCCACCAGCAAATACAAGGCCAGTTGCTTTTAAGACGATATCCTGCAAGGCATGGAGACTGGCAGCAACAAATTCACAGCCCTCAAGCAGAACTCTGACAACAGTATGCAATCAACCAGAAAGGCTTCAATTTCCAGTCTTCCGAAACTTACACCACTGCCTCCGCCTCCTTGTAGCCCCAACCTCCCATCTCAACTTCTTGCGCCTAAGCACACGTCAATCTGCAACCCATTCATTCCGTTCCATTCCTAGATTTCCTGCCTTTACTCACTTCGAAACAACTAGCAGCAAACCACAAAAAGGCGAGGTCCTTGAGCCCCGCATGCATCATCGGTCCGCGCTCACAACCCACATTGCTCGTACATGGAAGCACGGACACAAAGAGAGAGAGAGAGAGCTGTTCCTAGTAGCTTCTTGTTCCTGGTAGCAAGAATGCTACTAGTAGCGATGCCAGGAGCCCGTAGTAGCGTAGCGATGCCCTTTGCTCCTAGTCGCGACTCTTGCTTCTAAAGGGACAAAGGATGACAAGGGAATGAAAGGGAAGGGAGGGGCCGGAGGGGTAGGGAAGGAAAGAAGAAATATCAACAGGAGCTGCAACGAATGATGTGCACGACAACCCTGGAGTCGATGAACGCTATTGCATTGTACCCAGCAGAGGGATGGAGACCTTCCATTGCGAATTAGGGTATATCAGCAAGGAAACCTCCTGATGTAGCTGGGTGTTCCGAAAGAACTGCTTTGCAATTTGCAAATGTGCTCTCCTTCTAGACTGCAAGGCTGCTGCGAGTGACTAGAAGTCCCGGCCATACCTTTTGAGAAGATGCCCTTTGTTACTAGTAGCTTCTTGTTCCTAGTAGTAAGGCCAGGAGCCCCTAGTAGCGTCCTTGCTCCTACTAGCGATGCCCTTTGTTACTAGTAGCTTTGTGGTGACACGGACATGTGGGACCATTTGAGACTAGGGCGTCACGTGCTTGTGACTGTCGCGACTTCGCTTGGTCGTTTCATTTCGAGATTTGGTTTATAGCACTTTCGTTCCAGTGTTTGCCTGCTTAGACCTGTCACGGCATGTCATTGACCGTGCAGGAGACATGTCTAATGCTAGTGTTGACTTTGTCCCTTCGAATCAGCGGGATAGCTGGATAGCTGCCCCCTCGCTGGTGGGAACTCCGACCTCTTTTCTTGGTGAACCCTTTCGATTTCAATCTGGGTCAGAACATGGAAGATCAGCTTCGCACAAAGACTATCCCTATAGCTGCCTGTGGAATAAACTCTATCTGCTTGTTTGGCGACACGGCAAGGCTTCCTGAGCAAGAAAGAATGACGCAAGCCGCTTTGCAAACACGATTTTTCATATTCAAATTTCAATTGTCTGATATTTGTCCCAAGATCGTTCAAAGCGTACAAAACCCTGAGAGCGCTCACAATTTCCGAGTTACAAACGTCCATGTTACCTGGCCTACGGCAAAATGACATTTTTGAAAGGAAAGTGCGCCAAGTTACTCCGTAGGATGACATGCTCAAATGGAGCAGTGAAGTCTCGGCGCCCGTCATTTTTGAACGTTTTTTCTTGTGTGAGTGTGCGCGCGTTGTCCTCCCAGCACCCTAAACGACAGCCGGCCACTCGCCTCAGAAATTCAAAAAAATGCTTGCTAAGGTGCAGTTCTGGTATGGGCACTCATCATCGAGAGGGTGGAATGGGGTGGTGCTAACTTCCATGTGAACTTGCGAAGGCAGTTGATGCTACTCTGGGCAAGGGTTCTAACACATCAAAAAATGTCAAAAGCAAATACAATTTCTCCTCAGTGGCCCTGAAGGGATTGTCACAAGTACTGCAAATACCATAGGAAATCGTGTCCGACAGGCACGAAACTCCACGGCCGTCTATCAAGCATGGACCTGGGTAGTTGGAGCAGAATCGCCATAGATTCCCTTGTTTTTGTGAACATGCTGTGCCCTTTTTTACTGATTACAGTATCTACATGTTTTTGATGAGACGCACACATGGGACTCGGGCGGCGTTGTTTTCTGTCATGGTGAACGGTGTCATAACATTGTCATCGGCTTAAATTCGAGTAGGGGGAGGGGGATGCGGGGGTGAACAGCACTTATCAGCGGTTTCACAACATTGTCATCGGCTTCATACCATTGTCATCGACTTGACATTGTCATCGGTTTCATGACATTGTCATCGACTTCACAACTTTCTCTTCGGGCTCATAACTTTACATGATATCCACAACATTGTCCTTGACTTCATGCCATTGTCGTTGCCATTCATATTCATTCCATGTATCTACATATGTGTGTTGGCCTTCGGTCGGAAAAAGAAACATTGTTCGATGCTGACAGAAGAAAGCAGTTTCAGAAACCGCAAACCAAAACTCGGTCGAAGGGATTTCCCAATGAACGTGTGTGGAACAGACTCTACCAGTTTGTCTGGTGACATAACACTGCAGCATGAACAAAAGAGAGGAAAGCAGACCAGGCACGGGGGCGCTTCAGTGAGATGGGCCAAGAGAACGTTTTTCGCCCTTTGGTTCTTTTAACGCCTCCAAATCCGTGAAAGGGCTCACGATTCGCGAGTTCTAAAGGTACCTGTTGCCCAATTTTTCTATGATTTTCCACACATATGCAAAACCGCTTGGTCGGGATGCAGTTTGGGCGCGGTTCGGTGGGGGGGTGGGGGGTGGGGGGGTCGTTTGTGTGAGTAGCAACAAGGCAATTGAAGGGATGGTGATGGATTGTTGTGGCGAGGGGGTGTTTTCGTGTCAGTAGACGTCTTTGGACGTCGACGACGTACCAGCACATTCCTTACAGCGCAGTGTGACTGTCGTCTATCGTAGTCTTCAAGGCTCAAGGAAAACACCAGCTTCGGCAATAAAATGACACTGCTTGTCTGCGCTTTCATGGCGTACGCGGCAGTCCCTCTTTGAGTGGTAGCGGAGCAGTGATGCTGGAAGACCCAGGCGAGCTGCAGCAGCTCCAGATCCTAGCTACAGTAATTCTTAGGTTTGTGGATTGAGCAACGGACTGGATAGATGACTTGACTGGGATGAGCCTGATGCGGGTCAGGCTTTTGAGCAACAAGCATTTGCCCGTAGGCATGCGAGAAGAGAACCCACGGCAATAGCTACGACAACCCAAATGACGACTGTGCCACCTGCATTCGACGGTAGACTTCCGGCAAACAGTCTTGGTTTCTTATGAGGATGCCATTGACGACTGGTGTGTCATAAGAGGGGAAGAAAGGACGAGCAGAATAGAAGGTGAAGCAGCACTTTACAAACATCTTCTTGACAGAGATTTGCTGAAGGCAAA